TCATCCACCTCAAGTGGGATCAAATTTGCTATAGACTGGTTACGTAGAATGTGTGGTGTTGATGTTCCATCGGTTTGGTACCGGCGGGATACCAACACATCTACTGACCAGATTTTGCCATTGCGCGGGCTTGCGCATATCTTTACGATTTGGAATAATTTCCACTTTAGGCGTGACATTGGCGTGTCACCCTTAAAAGTTGCAACTTTCAGTAGAGCCACCTGGCCTACCTGTGGTTCTAAGCGTTTGAGTTCCTTTTCCAAGTGCGTTGGAAATGCCCTTAATTGGGTAACATACCCAATGTAGAAGGAGTGCCACAGATCTTTAAGGTAGTCCAAGCGGAGCTTGGTGTGTCTTAACAGACCTTTTCTATCGGTGTACTCAAAAAATTGCACTGGCAGTGGGCCATAGCAATAAGAATCCCATGCTGGGTCATTGGTGTCCTCCCTCCAGGGTTGAGGAACATTGATGGGGTGATGCAGATTGGATCATTTTGATCTGTTGGCAAGTATGTTAGTGGGCGGGAATTTATCATCTGCTCCACATATTTGATTGCCTCATAAATTGTGGAGGTATATTTAAACCTTGTCGCTTTGAATGATTGGGCCAGCTTGCCGTTTATCATTCCCATCATGCGCTCATAAAAGCCTCCCCACCAGGGAGCTAGAGCTGCATTAAAGTGACATTGCACTTTTTGTAATGAAAAATGGTTTTCCAATTCCATTTCTTTTGCTTGTAAAAACCTGGGCCATGCGGCCCGAAATGACGTCCCATGGTCAGAAATGACATTGATTGGACTCAAATCTCTGGAGTGGCAAAAGGTGTTGAATGCGGTTGTAAATGCTTCCAGCGATACATCCCGCACTGGTTCCAAGTGTACTGCCCTCACCAAGGGACAAGAAAATACACAAATGGACATGGTTTTTCCATCCAGAGTTTCAAATGGACCTGCAAAGTCCACTCCCACAGTTTCAAAGGGTTTCATCCCTGAATACCAGTAATGAGGTAGGGGTGCAAGGGGTTGTATGAAGGGCAGGTTGTCAAACCTTTGACACCATGCACATTCCCTTGGGGTGTGTGTGTGTGTGTGTGTGTGTGTGTGTGTGTGTGTGTGTGTGTGTGTGTGTGTGTGTGTGTGTGTGTGTGTGTGTGTGTGTGTGTGTGTG